AACGATGATGATTACACAAAATCACCATATTACGTTGAAATAGCAATGTATCTATATCTGGTATTACCACATGAATATCCCCAGATAATTCATAATGAACCAAACAATATGTATCCACCTCAATGGATGACAAAGAAACAAATGGACCATCAGATATGGACTCCATCAATCCAATACTTTAAAGAAGAAATATTCGAAAAATATATACCAAGATATTTGGAAGAATGGACCATAAAAGGAAAGATTACCAATAATTGTATCAAAGAACAATTTCCTAATTAGGAAATTTTTGAAGAATACAAAACTCCATATGATAGTGATGAACAAAATAATCCGGCCGAAAAGCCGAATTACCTGTGAACGTTATATCACAATTCATCGCCAAGGGCTATAGCAAAGCGTCCGGTGTACATGTTATCTTACCCGGCACTTCGTCCGATCATGCCTGTCACACGTAGTATGCGTCACACTTTGCAAATCCTACGATTACCAAAATCAGCAAAACCGGAAGATCCAAGCAATTGCCAAAATTGGCAACCCAATTATCTATCAAAATATTATATTAACAATCTTTGATTATAAATCTTTGCGCTTATAAATATCTTTATAGCTTATTAATTATATCATTAGTAATAGCCATTAGTCATAGCTTACAAATCTAGCATTAGTAAACATTAGTTAGTAATCCTTATAGCATAGTCTTCTTGAATATATAAATACGATAATTTTTGACCTTTGAAACATTAGCAAGTTTCCCCGTAAAATAGACCCTGAAAACTTAGCTCATAAAGCTCAAATAATAACGTCCATAACAACTCTCATACAATAGCTTAAACAAATAAGCTCAACACACCCGATGGTATACTAAAACATCAAAGCACCCAACGGCCTTAAAAATATAAGCGCCCAAGCATTAATAGATATATATATATATTAGTGCTCAAGAATTAACATAAGCGTCCAACGCTCAAGAAACCTACCAGAGGCATTAACTTGCACTCACACGAATAATAGTAGTTTACCCCTTCTACTATACAAGCAATCAAAGCTCATAAACGTCCAAAAGAAGAAACATAACAACGCTCAAACAAGTATTAAAGCGCCCAACAACGTTATAATAAATATAACGACCGAGCTTTACTAAAGCAAACACCAAAAGCGCTCATCGAAAGCTTTAACTCAAATAGACCTTAACACAACAAGGTTAACTATCTGACACCAAACATTGTATCAAAGAGACCTATTCGCTTAGTAATCTCTGACAATATATAACGACAATTGGTATCATGAACAATACCAACAAACAGTAGCGCTCAACATATTGTATATAATTATATTATATAAAAAATTATATAATGAGACGTTAATCACTAACGAGGACCTAATTGAGCAAATATTTACCTGAAACTTAAACCATAACGAGGACTTAGTAGAGCTAACACCCTTAATAAATACATACTTGTACTTCATATTAAATAGTATATTAATAAATAAATTATCCAAATTTATTAAATACAAACCATTTGTGCAAACAATTAGTAAAACCTATAATCCTTCTAACAAAAGTAAAGAATAAATTAGAACGCCCAACACAGTTAGTATTATTTAACAAAGCCTAAGATAGGCATAGTAGTAACTAAGTAGTACCCCAGAGGCCTTATCCACCTCTGTATAAACAAACAAACCATTCCACAGTAGAAAGACACGGTCTAGCCTGCCGTAGTAAAAGAAATTAGTAGCGCAAAAAGGCGCTCACATACTAAAAAACACATCTAACACTAGTTAGTATAAATTAAAGGCGTCCAAATAAATAGAAAACACATCAAAACTATCCAAAACAACCAAAGCAAACGAATTGAAGAATAGAGCTTAATCAACTCTTAAGCCGTACGATTAAAGGAAAGCTTAATCTAATTAGGAAGATTAACCAT